GTACGTATGGATCACTTGGGTTGTTACCGACATCTGGTGAAAATTTCATGTCGTTAGTACGTCTAGTAATATATTTACTGAGAAAAATGGTGACGTGTTCAATACTTATTTTACCCGCTGTATGTCTATTTGYGTATATGACATTTTCAGTGTCAGGTCTTTGACACTCAGATTTAAAGTGTAAAATTGCCTTTAAATAGAATAAAATATAATTATAATCATAACACTGGATCTGACAAGCTGCTGTGAATGTTATGATAGTCTGTAGTTTTGTATCATACAACAACCCCAAGGGTACATTTCTACTGTACGGTCAGAATGCTGAATAATTATTTTKTGCTGATATTAAGAAAGTGACTCACTCAAGCTCCTGTAAAGAGTTGTTCTCCTGCAGGGCTTGAGCCATGTTCTTAGCTCCTTCCACCCCGATTGAGTTCTCCCTTAGACTGGAGAAACATAGGGAGGAAAAAAGGACGCAAGTCCAGTATAATTGTATTGTTAAACAATTTAGACCAAGACTTTGGCTTGAATACTCACTTCAAAGAGACCAAACCTCGGTTCACCCTTAGGGATTTGGTCAGTGCAGTCATTCCTCTGTTGCTGATWGAGTTACTTTGCAGTCTGATGTGAGGGGAAAAGGGTTACGTGTAATTAGAAAGAGATGCCATTTAGTTCCACACTTCTCGAACTAAAGTTTTGTTCTGCGATGCTGAAAATGCATTAGCAGAGAACTGACTGCAAGRTGATGGAAAGACACAAGCTAAAATTTGCAGCTGATTATTGGATACTGACTGAAGTGACAGAAGAGTGTGGTTTAATGTCAAAGCTTCAGCCAGAGCAACTGTTCCCTTGTCCCCAAGCTGGTTACTGCAGAGACTGGAGAGAAGAAGACATCAGAAATACTGAAACATTGGTTTTTAAATGGATAAAATGTAGCGCAACATGCAAACAAAACCAGCAATAAATGTAGAAAAATGTAATTGTTTTTTCATTAAATGAATCCCAGTCATATGTATATATTTTTTATGTTGGAATAAATGCAACATTGCCTTGCTTAATTGCCATTGTCTTGGAAAGCAAGACTTTCACTGAAAAAGACACTTCTGAAAGGCACCAAAACACAGAAACACATCTTCACAGAAACTGAATTTTCCATGTGATGTGGTCTAATTAATCCCACAGCATCACAGAAGCTAGAGGTGTTGACCCTTTTTATTTGTTAAAAAGCTGATTGGTGCTTTTTTCCCCCTTCAACTCAGAATAAATAGAGCATATTGAAAATAGCGCTGCCTGAAAYGCTGAAGATTACATCAATGTCTTTTCAAGCATTTTCTCTAAACTCTGAAGACTTTTATTCACTTCAGATAAAGAGAAACCCTTTTTATTCCTAATGATATTAGTGACCTCTTTCCATTTCACATATTTAATGAAGCAATGTTGCGAACATTCAAACCAACACTTTTAAACAAACACATAAATTCAATGGTTAAGATATAAGTGTGTGTGTGTGTATTTATATATAAGCACATTACCCCCAGAACTAAGTGTATTAAATGAGATTTCAAAATTGATTACATCAACTTTGTAAGAGTCCGGTTTGTCTTCAGTGCATCTGCGATCCGTTTGGCTCCACCAGCTCCAATTGTATTCTTCCTCAAACTGAAACAGAAAGAAAGAAACAGTAAACTTTACAGCTTATAACTCAACACCCTAAATTTTGACTCATGAAACAGTTATTTACAGATGACATCTGAAAACAAAACTAAATTTACTTCAGAGACACCAGTCTGCGGTTGTACTGGAGCACCTCTGCCAGAGCCTGAGCACCTTCGTCCTCGATGGGATTGTTCTGCAAGCTGGTGAAGACATATCTTGTAAACATCGGCACAGATACCAGTACTTGAATGTATAAACCAAAGATTTGCTCACTTGAGTGAAATCAAAACTTGATTCATTTTCAAAGCCTCTCCGAGGAACTTTGCACCTCTGGATCCAATGTTGTTATTCCGGAGGCTGAATTGTGATAAAGAGGTTAACTTATTTTAATCAAACAAGCCCAGTAAGTTGTAGTTTGTTAACTATTGAACCATTATTTAACAAAAACAAGTACAGTGGAAATTATTTCCTGATTCTTCACTGACAAACACAGTTTCTTAGAAGAAAAAAAATGCCTTGATCTCTTTTAAAGTCCCAATAGAAGTTGTGTGTGGGCCTATGTTTTTGCTACTTGGTGGGGGCGATTTTTAGGAAAATGGGGTCGTGGGGACTGAATTCCCCTTGTGTGGACCAAAGCCCACAACTGGAGGCTGATTTGGGGTGGGTGGGTTGGTGGGGGGGTTAGGTTTAAGGCCAAGGTGTGAATTAAGTTTATGATTGATTTAGGGTCAGTTATGTACTGGAGTGGTTAACTTTGGAGTAAGGGGTCAAGGTTAGGCTATAGAAATGACCAGTAAATGAATGAAAGTCAATTGAAAGCCCCCACAAGGATAGAGAAACATAGCATGTGTGTGTTCCCTTGTTTTTGCTACTCGGTGGGTAGAATTTTTCAGGAAAATGCAGTCTTGTGAGGGCCGAATGCTCCTTGTGGGGACCAAAGCCCAGTCCCCACAACTCTAAAAGCTGATTAAATATATCCTGTCCGTCACTGCACAGAGGAATATCACCTGAAGCTCTGCTCAGCTAGAATAGTAAAATCAAATCAAATCAACTTTATTTATAAAGCACTTTAAAACAGCGGTCACTGACATAAAGTGCCGTACATGAGGGGCCAAAAACAACAAAACAAATCAAACAAATCAACACTAAAAACACTCAAACACTAAAAACAAGCAAAAGAAAAACTGCTAAAACAGACCAAGGTCTCAAACTGTGTTAAAAGCCAGTGAATAAAAATAAGTTTAAAGATTAGTTTTAAAACCAGGCAATGAGGAGACCTGCATGACGTGTAGGGGTAGCTCATTCCTGAGCTTCGGAGCAGCAACTAGTAGACATAAATCTAATCTGAGCACTGATCAGTTCTTGAGGCAAAAGAAAAGAAAAGGAAAGAAAGACAGTGGACACGAGTTCTGAACTGATGAGTCCAGTGTAAGCTCACTATAAACATATACATATACAGTTTTTAAATATACCCAGCAGGATCCATAATTATCACCCCTCACCAAAAGGTTAAATGACAATTTTGTGTATGGGAAAGGTTAAGACACATTTATAAATGACTCAATTAAGTTTTTCATGCAGTTAAAAAAAATTAGCTTAGTAAACCTTGTGAAACAATGTGTGTGTTCATAAAACGACAACTATTTAACTTTACTTGAGAGACGTTAGTGTTCGATTCACGAGGAGGGCTCGGCTCAGGGCTTTGGCTCCTTTGTTGCTGATGGCATTGTCTGCCAAGCTGGTGGGCAAGCAGAAGGATTTTTACATTTTAAAATACTGTCAGCAACTGAATTCAGTATTAAGACTGGCATCATAGTTATGATGGTGTAGAATCTCAGTCCTCCAGGACATGGCAAATCAAAAATAAGAAATTTAAGAAAACAAAGAAACAGGACAGTTTTACAGTTGATTAAATAAAAGGAAACATCGTCAACTTCAAAATATCCAGTCCAATTGCATTGCTTTTCTTTCTTTTTTGCAGGAGATTTACCATTTTGGTGATAAACACTGAGTGCTGTCTACAGCACTAAAATCAGCCAGACATTTTAACTACAATTAAAATTCATTTCATCATTTGATAACCAACTGGTAAAATAATATTTATGTGATGCTTTAATTTAATAAGAAATAAAAGTTAAACGTGATTTAACCTTATTTTGCAGATGTGGCAGTCTTTGGCACTCAAGAGGCTTCCAAGTAATTCCATCACATCATCTTTGAAGTTGTTGTTCTCCAGCCTGTTCAGCAGATAGCAGAAAGGTTTCAACCTTAAATCTCTGAGCTTTAGCCAACTGAGAGACAATACTTTGACGAGCTGACCTGAGATGACTGCAGTACAGCAGCTGCGGGAGTAAACTTTTCACTGTTGCGTAGTTCAGACAGCCTGTTAGGCTGGTCTGTTCACTGCACTCTGGAGACACTTGTAGTAGGTAGCCCAGTACTACGCAGTGAGGCCGAGTTAACTTTCCAGCCAAGCTACCGAGCCTTAAGTCCTCCTCTATACTCCGAAGCTGCTCTGTGTGTTGTAGCTCCTGCAAACAGTACCCTAAGTTGACAGCCTGAAGGGAAACCACAGCGCCCACGCTGGCTAAGAGGCCTTGCAAAAACCCTGCAGCCCACGCCATCTGATTCCCATCGTCTTTCCCGAGAGCCAGGAGCCCAGCAAGAGGTTTAAGTGCAACAGGACACAGCAAGCCTGTCAGAAATCGCACAAAAAAATCCAAGTGACCATTTTCAGCTTGCTGGGAGTGCTGAAAGGCACTTCTGAAGTGGTTCTGGAAGCCAATCTTTGGCCAAGACATGCTGCTCTCTGAGAACAGGTCAAAGATGGCCCGCTTTGAGGAAACGTGATAGAAAGTAGCTGCAAGAAACTCCTGCAGTGTCAGAT